CCTAGCCTCCAACCACCACTACCACCCACTGACAACTGCCATCAAGGGGCTGGAAAGCTGAAGAGTCCCTAGAACAGCATCCTCACTCTCCAGGCCACTGGCCCTGTTTCTAGCTTAGCCTCTGCAGCTGTCACCCCAGAAAGCAGACCTCCTAGAAATGTGACCTGCTATCTGCCTTTGAAAGGGCTGCAGCTCCCACCAACCCCACAATCACATCTACTAAAGATCTGGGGGGGGGGAAGTTCTCTTCACCACAGGTCTTCTCACCATCAAATGATTCAGCATCAAAAATGGATGGGGAAATTACATTAATGAAGATACATTATCAGCTAATTTGCTGCCATATCCTTAGGACCACTAGGTCTTTCCATCTAGACTTGCAGCTGACATACAGGTTACCTCCCCCTATTAGAGTGAGCTCCTTAAGGGCTGGGACTCTCTTGCTTTTCTATTTGTGTCCCCAGTACTTAGCAGAGTACTTTGCACACATTTAATGAAAGTTTGGTCATTCATTTATTCATTCAAAAGGTGGGAATGGTCCATTTTGGAAGAATTGTGGAAGGACTCTAAATCCCATATTTAGCCAGTGGGGAATGGCCAAATAAACTGTGGTACAAGAATGTAATGAAATATTACTGTGCTGTAAGAAACAATAAATATGAAGAATTCAGAGAAGTATGAGAAGACTTACATGAACTGATATAATTATATACAATGTTTATACTGATGTAAATATTGTTGTTATTCTTCTAGGTCCTACTCTTCATGACCTCATTTGGAATTTTCTTGGCAGAGATACTGGAATGGTTTGCCATTTTCTTCTCCAGCTCATTTTACAGATGAGGAAACTGAAGCAAACAGGGTTAAGTGACTTACCCAGGGTCTCACAGCTAGTTAAGTGTCTGAGGCCAGATTGGAACCCAGGCAGATGAGTCTTGCTGACTCCAGGCCCAGCAGTCTATCCACTGTGCCACCTATCTGCCTTGTAAATATAAGGAACAACAAAAACTGAATGCTGGGAAATTATAATGATCAAACTTGACCCCCAAAGACTATATATAAGAATGTACCTCCTTCCCTTCTTTGCAGAGACAAGTGTAGAACAGTGCATATCATGTCAAACTGAGCTGGTGGGTTGGTTAGTTCTGCTAAACTGTGGGTTTTCCCCCCTTTTTTTCTAATGAGAAATGGTTCTCTGGAAGGGGGAAGGATAAATTGGGAAATGAAGGTGATATAAAAACAAAAGAGCAATAATAATTAAAAATTTTAATTAAAAAAAATTTAATTTTCCTTCCTCCCACATACCACTGGGGCAGGGGGTGGGGGTTGGGGGAACCTCTTGTAATAAGTCTGAATAGTCAAGCGAAACAAATTCCTGCATTAGCCATGTCAAGTCAACAGTCATTTAAGTGCTTACTATGTCCTGGTACCGTCCTACACATTGGACAGTAGAATATAAGAAAAAAAAATCTCTGCCCTCAGAGAGGTTAGCCTCTACTGGGGGAATATGAAAGGAAGCTGAAAAGGGTATAGGTGAGGAAAGAAGGGACCTGCACAGGGAACCAGAGAAGCAACAGCAGAACCCTGAGAAAAAAGGAAGGGAGGAGCATGGCTGGCCTGGGCCCATCCTTAATTTTAAAATGGTGGTCTCAGAAGAAACAGATCAATCAGAGGACAGGCCTGTGAGGGAGGAGGGATCTTCCTGGGCAAGATAGGAATGGATATAGATACAGATACAGATACGGATATATGGATACTGGCACTGGTACAGATACAGATACAGACAAAGATGTAGATACAGATATAGATACAGATACAGATACAAAAACAGATACATATATAGATGTAGATACAGACAAAGATGTAGATACAGACATAGATATAGATACAGATATAGATACACATACAGATATAGATACAGATACAGATATAGATATAAATACAGATACAGATAAAGATATAGCTATAGATATAGATATATCTACAGATACAGATATTGATACAGATACAGAAATAGATACAGATAGACATCTTTCTCTCCACTTTCTCTCTATTGCAGCTGTCTTACCAGCATCTTAGCCAAAGGCCCTCCACGGGCTCAGGGCCTAACCACTCCTGGGCAGCTAGCCCTACCCCCTGTCACCACAGTGTCCCCTTCCCAGTTGCTCTAGTGAATAGGCTGCCCCTACTCCAAGTGCCTCTGTACCATGAGCAGTTCTCAACTGCATGTGCCTCAGACACAAGAATTTCTAGTTATGTTTTTTACTTTTACCCACATCTAAATTCCTGCTCACACCTGAACCACTGGTCACAGAAGAACCATCACTCACACTACCCACCACCTTCACCCAAATTCCTGCTCATACCAAGACTGGGGCTGCCTGTTAGCCTTGAAGGAGGACAGGAGAGCCCAGGGCTCAGGCCAGACACTGAGGAGCATTACAAAGGCCACCTAGAGAGGCTGGGGGCCGGGGGGGGGGAGGTCTACCTAGTCCCAAACGGCGGCCAAATCCCCAGACAGCAGGAAAAACTGAGCTCACAGCGGTCCTTTTGTAGCCTGGCCACAGAGCCCAATGCCAACCGAAGGGGAGGATTAAGGAAAGAGGATTAGGGAAGATTTGGAATTGCTGCCCAGCCCTACATTCTAGGGCCAACGCAGGGAGCAGACAGGTGGGATGAGCTGGCCCTCCACCCATCAAGGCTGGTTTCATCAGGGCATGACTCCGAGAGCCGCAAGCCCCTGTGAGTCCCCTCAGAGTCCTCTCAGCCCTAGTTCCAGCTCCCATCAATTAAGTGCCAGAGACAGGCTGTGGAAAGAGGCCTGCCTGGCTCGGGGTTGGGTTGCTGGATCTCAGCCCCAGCTCAGGCGCCTTTGTGACCTAATCATTTCTCTATCAGGCAACAGTGTGACATCTGTAAAATGCAGGTCTGGATGAGATGGTCTCTGAGAGCCCCACAAGCTCTGGCCATGTATGTTCTAAGTCCTCAGCTCTGACTTTGTACATTTCAAGGTCACTTCCAACTCAGACAGCATATTTTCTTTTCTTGTTTGTTTTTGTTGAGGCAATCGGGGTTAAGTGACTTGCTAGTAAGTGTCAAGTGTCTGGTTTGAGACCAGATTTGAACCCAGGTCCTCCTGACTCCAGGGCCAGTGCTCTATCCACTGTGCCACCTAGAGACAAGCCTATTTTCTAAGGACCTTTCCAGCTCTGATGTTCTCTGTTCTGGGGTCCCTCCTGAATCTCATAGTTTATGTTCTAAGTGCTCCCAGCTCTGACGTTCTCTGTTCTGGGGTCCCTCCTGAATCTCATAGTTTATGTTCTAAGTGCTCCCAGCTCTGACGTTCTCTGTTCTAAAGTCCATCTGATTCTACTTTTGAGGCAGAAGGACATTCCAGGCAGGCAGAACTGCCTGGCTGGAGAGGAGTAGGGTAATCTAAAGGAACTTTTACTCAGTTGCTCCTAAAGGCCACTCTGCTCCCAGGGCTTCTGGGTTCAGCCCCTGTGCCTGAGCCTCAGCTGCTGCTGAGATCTGGAGGCCAGATCAGACTTGGGCAGTCACTGCCCCCCATCCAGTGCATACATGTGTATGTCTATGTAGATATGTATATGTGTATATGTTATGCATACAGATATAGATATATACATATATATACACACATTTATATAGTGCCTACATGTGCCAGAGCTAAGAACTTTACAAATACTATCTCATTTGATCCTTACAACAATCTTGCAAGTAGGTGCTATTATTATCTCTATTTTACAGTTGAGGAAACTGAGGCAGATAGAGGTTTGCTGACTTACCCAGGATCATGCAACTAGTAAATGTACGAGGTCAGATTTAAACTCAGGTCTTCCTGACTCCAGGTCCAGCACTCTATCCACTTTGCTGCTTTGTTTTCAACTTTTAATTTTTTTAAAATTTGTATTTTGAATTAATTTTTTTATAAATTTTTTCCAGTGAGACTTGGAGATTTTGGAGATTGAAGAGTCAATGGGTTTGGAGTGGTAAAGGGCCCTTTTCCAAGGTCATCTAGCTAGATTTCTTCATTGGACGGATGAAACAACAGGCTCAGAGAAGAAAAGGGATTTTCCCAATGATGGATACAGCCAGCTATCCAGATTTCAAGCCCTGGTCGGCTGACCCCAGACTCATCCCACTCTTCACTATTCCTTACTATCTCCCCACAGTGTTGTCAGGGCTGGGCCCATTGGTGGGGGGGAGGGCAGGAGGTATAGGGTATGGGGTATGGGACACACCCCTAGATTGTGAGAGAAAGGTAGGGGCTGGGGGCCCAGGAAAGGGGATGGGGTAAGGCTTCTAACAGAGGAGTTGAGCTAGTGGGTGCTGTGGGCTAGGGACATGCTGGGGCCAGTGTACTGGGGGCCTGGGGCAGGTATAGGGAGACTCTTAATTAGTGAGGCAGCTGGTTGAAGGCCCTCCTGGGCCAAGGCTGTGCTGCAGCCCAGGGTCTGTGCCCACATCTGAGGGCCCCCACTGGCCCCCCCCCCCGGCCTGTGATGTAGACATTGCCCCTGGTGGAAACACCCTTGGGGGGGGCCCAGCTTTCCTCCTCCCCCACTGCTAACTGAGTGGTGATGGGTGAATAGGAGGGGGGCCATCCTGGCAAACTTCCCTGTTCTTTGTCCCTGTCAGCGCCAGGGGCCCAGGTTGGCAAATAGAAGAATCAGGAGGTATCCTCAGGGGCCCACCCCAAGGAGCGTAGGCGGGTGCTCCAACGGAGGTGGGGAGAGACATGGGGGCTTTGCAGGCAAGGAGATGGAGACTTGAGAAGGTCAGTCCAGGGTGAACTCAGGCTCTGATCATAGGAGCCCAGGATTTAGAGTAGGAAGAAAAATCTATAGATTATAGAGTTAAGGGGTCCATGAACTTGGATGGAAGGGGAAAATAAACCTTATTTTCCCTAATCGTTGGTTTTCTTTATAATCTTATGCATTTTGTTTTCTGTATTTGGACAAGTAATTTTATTTCCCTGGGTTTCCTCATCAGTAAATGCTCTACTGTTATGAACCCTGACACTTACTAGCGGTGACGTTGAATAGTCTCTGGGCCTGACCCTCTGAAAAAAGGCATCCAAATGTCCCTTCCAGCTCTGAGTCCTGCAGCATCCAGCGACGGGGATTTCTAACCCCCGGCCTGTCCTGTCACGCCACAGCTGGATGGCTCAGATCGTCAGAATGTTTTTGCTTCTTCTGAGCAGGTCAGAGGAGATCACACGACTGGCCAGCTGAGAGCCAGAAGGGAGCTTCGAAATAATCCGGCTCACATCCATAAGTTTATAGATGAAGCTGCAAGGGCCAAAGGACAGGAGGGGACTTCTCCAAGTGAATGTTGCCATTAATTGAGATGGAAATTGAATCCGGGTCTTCTGACTCCAAATCCACTGCAATCAAGCAATCACCAAGCATTTATGATGGATCTAGGGGAAGAAAGGAATAAGCACTTATTAAGCATCTACTGCATGCCAGGGGCTATGCTAAACATTTCACAAATATTCTATTTTATCCTTATGACTATCCTGGGAGGTAAGCGTTATTATTATTCCCATTTTACAGTTGAGAAAACTGAAGCACAGAGGTTTAAGTGACTTCCGGGGTCATCCAGCTAGTAAGTGCCTGAGGCTGGATTTGAATTCGGCTCTTTCTGACACCAGACCCAGCATTCTATCTATTGTCTCACTCAGCTGCCAGGCACTAAACTAGGCATCAAAGATGCAAAGACACAAATGAAAATTTCCCTGCCCTCATGAAGTTTAAGTCCCAGTTCAGGAGCCAATAAGGACCTGTATAAGTTAATGCATATGTATGCACATTCAGTATAGGTAAAAGGAGTACAAGGAAGTGTTGAGAGGGAAAGGGATGATGAAAGGCTTCCTGTAGAAGATGATTCTCAAGCTGGGTCTTGGAGGAAGCCAGGATTCCAAGAGGCAAAGGTGAGGAGGGAGTGCATTCCAGGGATGGGGCACAGCCAATGCCAAGGCACAGAAAGTGGACCGGGATGGCTGGATCACAGTATGCATGGGAGGAAGGCTGGAGTAGTAGGAAGGGGCCAGGTTGTGTAAGGTTTTAAATGCCAGACAGAGGAGTCTGTAAATTTGATCCTGCAGGTAATAAGGAGCCCCTGACGTTTATTGAGCACAGGAGTGACAGTCAGACCTGCACTTTAGGAAAACCATTTTGGATGTTAGATTGGAACTGAGAGTCTTAGACAGGGAGATTAAAAAGGAGGTTATTTCAGTGCTTCAGGTAAAAAGTAATGAGGGCCTGAACTAGGGTGGCTGATGTGTAAGTGGGGAGAAGGTTATTCCCCCTTTTTTTCTTAGAGGACCCATGACAATCACAGGGTGACGTCTTGGCTCTCACATGCATTGGGTTGAAGTGAGGCCGAGATGCAGTGTCATCAGCCTCACTCTCTCTTCCAGAGTCATTGCAGACCAAGGCAAGACAAAAGTCAGGACAACTGGTAGCGGCTCAAAATGCAGTGGGAGGACCGTGCTGTCTTCAATGTCTGACCAAACTCTAAGCGCTCCACAGCGCCTGCTTCAGCTGCCTTCGTGGCCGTTGGACCAAATTATTCTCATCTGTCCATTCTGCAGGGGAAAGGCTTCACACATTTGGGGTAGACACCCCCCCTAATTCACCGGTGGGTTTCCCTCAATCTGGTTTAGCCTATCTGCAGAGACAGTGTCACTGGACGCAGCTGCTATGCATGCTATGGCTTCTTGGAGCCACAGGTGAGCATTGGATGAAGGTGGACACCAAAGGTAAGGACTCAACAGACCTTCATCTCAGAGGTGTTAGTCCTCCCTAAACACTCCACACACCCCACGGGGAGGAGGCAGAAACTGGGAACTGACTCAGTGTGTTGAGCGAGTGAGAGTGAGAAGTCTAGGATGCCTGTGAAGCTGCAAACCTCAGCGACCGGGACAGTCATATCCTTGACAGGGATAAGAAGTCTGGAAGAAGGGACAGTTTGAAGGCGAAAGATAATGAGTTCTACATATGTTGAGTTTGAACTGCTGAGCCTATGGGATATGCAGTTTGAAATTCAAATAAGTACCTGATGAGTTTGGAAGAGAGACCACAGATGGTTGTATAGATCTAGGAAACATCTGCAGAGAAATGGTAATTAAACCCACAGGAGCTGGTCAGGTCATCTAATGAGGGATAGAGCTAGAAAAGAGAAGAGGGCCAAAATGAAACCTTGGGGCTCACCCGCAGTTAGTGAGCACAGCATAGATAATGAATTAGCGCAGGAGACTGGGAGGAAATAGGCATATAAGTAACAGGAGAACCAGGAGAGAGCAGTGTCTAGTAGGAGAGGTTGGCCACCATTGACACATTCCATATGGAGGTCAAGAAGAAGAAGGATGGAGAAGAATCCATTAGACATGGTAACTTTGGAGAGAATCGTTTTGTTTGAATAATGAGGTTAGAAGTCAGATAATAGAGGGTTTAGAAGAGAAAAAGAAGAGAGGAAGTGGAAGCATTGATTGTAGAGCTTAGCTGAGGAGGAAAGAAAACATATAGGGTGATGGCTAGTATGATCTAGTGAAGGTTTTTTTTAAAGATCAGGGAGACACGAGCATTTTTGTAGGCAGCAGGGAAAGAACCAGAGGATAGGGAGAGGTAAAGGTTAGAGTGAGAAGGATGGTAGCGGGGGCAACCCTGCAGGAGATAAATGGATGAAATCTAAGGTACCTGTAGAAGGGTTTGTCTTGGCCAAAAGAAGAGCACCTCCTCATCAGAAACTGGATTAAAGGAAGAAGTAGTGGGGGATGACATCAAGAAGCTGTAAGACAAGAAAAGGGGGAGAAAGGAGAGCTCTCTGAGAATGGCCTTGATTTTGACAGCAAAGGTAACCTCATCTAAGAGAATGAAAGGAGAGTATTGCTAACTAGATATGGAGATGATAGATGAGAATAATTTGGTCCAACTCTCCTTGCCAAAGGTCACACAGCTAGTGAGTGGCAAAGGTTTAAAACTGGGTCTTCTGACTCCTATCCAGATGGCACAGTGGGAGGGAGCACTGGGCTTGATGTCGGGAAGCCCTGAGTTCAAATCCTGCCTGAGACACTGTGTGATTCTTGGCAAGTTGTCTTCTCCTCATCTGGAGGATGGGACCTACCTCACAGGGCTGTGAGAATCAAATGAGATTGTACAGGATGTCTAGATTTGGGGGACACCCTGTATACATAAAACACTTTGCAAACCTTAAAAGCACTACATAAATGTTAGCTGTTGTTATTATTACCCACAGAAGCTCCAGTTACTTCATCAACATCGCCCAGTCTTGGGAAAGTTGCTCCCGGGCTCTAATCCTGCTTGACCCAACTCTTCATATGTGATCTGAACAAGGAGTTTACCGCAGGGGAAAGAGTTCTGGACTGGGAGTCAGGAGATGGGTGTTCTGTGCGATCTTGGGTCTGTCGCCATCCTTCTCTGGGCTTCATTTCCCTGTCTTAAAAATTAAAGAATTGGGCTAGGTAGTTTCTGGGATTCTTTTTACTTCTGACATTCAGCATTCTAAGGTTCCCCCCAGCTCTGATATTCCTAGAGTCACAGAGTTAGAGAGCTGGAAGGGACCGCAACAGCCATCTAGTCCAAGCCATAACGAAGGAATGAATCCACACTATAAGCCCACAACCATTCAGCCTCTGCTTGAAGACCTCCAAGGAGGGTGAACCCATTGTCTCTCAAGGCAAGCCAGGGCCCTTTTGAGGAACTCTGTTAGCAAGTCTCTCCTGACACCAAGCTTGGATTTACTTCTTTGCAAGTTCTTCCCTCCAGGGCCAAACAGAAAAATCCAATCCTTCTTCCACCTTTCAGCCTTTTAGATACTTGAAGACAACTATTAAGTACCCTCACCTCTACCCTGGTCTTCTTTTCTCCCAGAAAAGTTCTCAATTCCTTCAACTAGTCCTTAGGTATTGAACATAAGACCTTTCCTCATCTTGGATGCTATGCCCTGGACACTCCCCAACTTAACCATATCCTTCTTAAACCATGAAGCCCAGAGTAGATATCGTACTCCAGCTGAGGTTTGATGAGGGTAGAGTACAATAGGAAATAGGAATTCCTGGGAGCTATACCTTGGGCAAACAGTCGGGATGTAGGTGAGCTTTGAGGATGCGTCAATCAAACATCTCCAGCCACCCCAAACTGAGTCTTATCTTTGGATTCCATGGAGAAAGGGTCCATGCTGGGGACCTGTACTATGTGGTAGAGGTTGGGAGCAGAGAGGTGAATAATACCCATAGGACATCGGATGTGAGTGTGATTTAGGGAAGCATATATAAATGGGGAGAAAAAGGACTCAATTTGAAGTCAGAGGACCTGGGTTAAGAACCCAGTTCTGATCCTTACCACCTATGTGATCTGGGGCAGGCCACTTTCCCTTCCTGGACCTGAGTTTCCTCATTGGCAAAATGAGAGCCTTTCTTCTTTATGTTTTTGTTGTGAATCTTAGAGACCATCTAGTGTAGGGGTGCTTAACCTGGGGCCCATGAACTTTTAAAAACATGTACATATATTACATAATTGCACTTCTGTATAATTTATTCCTTTTGTAATCCTATGTATTTTAGTCTATGCATTTATAAACATTCTGAGAAGGGATTCATAGGTTTCACTGGATTGTCAAGTCCTTGACCGCACAAAAAGTTAAGAACTCTTGATGGTGAAAAACCCTCACTTTGCAGATGAGAAGTCAATAAGAATTTGTTAGGCACTTAGTACCTGCCAGGCACTGTGCAAAGCACTAGGTGAACAAAGAAAAGGGAAGAAAACCAGTCCCTGGCCTCAGGAGGTCTACATTCTAATGGGGAAGAAAACATATCTTCTAGTCAATAACTACTCAGATACAAAATGTAAGCAAAGGGAATGGAAATTATATACAAATATATACAAAGTAGAGCAGAAGGCTCTAACAACTGTGGAGAAGGGAGAGGCCTCCTGGAGTGGGTGATATTTGAGCAGAGCCTTGAATGGAGTCAGGTAAACTGGTGAAGGAAAAGCAAAATTTTTGAGAGAGGAAGACATTGGCCCAAGGTAGTAGAGGAAATCATTGGAAGAGCTGGGACCAGGACCCAGGTGTCTAGACTTGGCAATTATTGACCCACGTCTGGGCCTTCTCACTTTTTTTTTCCTTTTGTGAAGGCAATCAAGGGTTAGGTGACTTGCCCAGGATCACACAGCTAGTAAGTATCTGAGGCCAGATTTGCACTCCATGCACTGTACCACCTAGCTGCCCCCTGGTCACTTTTTAAGAAAGAAGACAGTTGATAATGACTTACTAGGAAAGGGAGGAGAGATGATAGGCAGGAGAAGAGGGTCTGAGCCCTAGGGGTGGGGCAGGAGGGAAGGCAGGGAGCCAGCTATGACTCCACAGCCCCAACAACTTTGGTAGAGAGTCATTATGTTTGCCTCTGACAAGGGCTCCCTGGCTGGGAATCAGGGATGAAGGGTGGGGCAGAAAGGGAGGGGCTGTGAGACACCCCCTTAGAGACTTCTCTTACCACTCCTGGCTAGTCAAGCCCTTTTGGGAGGCTGGCCCATCCCCGCCACTGCCCCCAGATGGGTGCAGTTCATATGGCTTAAATTTCAGCCCCTTCCTCGGCAAAAAGGGCAGGGGAGGCCCAGGCACGACACGCTCAGTTTTCGATTTTCTAGAGACAAAAGAGCCACAGGGCCCAGCCTGGCCTCTTCCTCCTCTCCTTTGGGGCCAGGGGTGTGGGCACTCTAGAGACAAGGATGCACCCCCCCTCCCCGCCCCTGGGGACATTTGGCTGATCCTTGGCCCAGCTGCAGCTGCCCTCTGAGGAATGTACCACACACCACACCACTTGATGCAGAATAAAACCAGAAAAATGTTTTAGGGGGGTCGGGATATGTTTTTCCTTTCCCCTCCTTTTTCTCTAGGCCTTCAAATGTCAAAACCATTTTCTAAAGAAAATGACAGCTTTATGAACTCAAATAGGGAGAGACTAAGATGCTATGTCCCGAGGCTGGCACAGGGGATCTGAAGGCTCGCAGATAGGAAACAAATACACTGTCCTTTGGAACCCCGATTTCCATTCCCCCCAAAGAATTTCTAGAAGGTCTATGTCAATACTACCCCTCTCTGCCCCTTCCCTGGCCTAGCCCTCACCCTCTCTCGTACCTGCCCAGGATCATAGTACTTCCTACCCACAAAGAGGAGGGAAGAGGGGAGAGGCTCATATATCCACAGACCCCACAGACTTATAAACTCACACTAGAAATCCATGACCCCCAGGAGGGAGAGTGGTATGGAGGAAAGAGTAGTAGATAAAGAGTCAGAGGTCTTGGATTCAGATCCTACCTATGATGCTCACTGTTTGACCTTGGGCAAATTATAAATGAGGGAATTGAGCATGGGAGACCCCTTCCAGCTCTTGAGGTATGATTCCCTATGAGCTCTGACAAAGCCCTCTGGCCAGAAGAATAGAGAAGGGCTCCAGGGTTGCTTGGAAACTCATAATTGCTACTGGCTTTGTGACACAGAAATTGAAGTCAGAACTTTGAGTGTTCTCTGGATCCAAGACTTCAGGCAGTCCTTACCACTTCAGGTACTTTCACCCCAGCCCAGCACAGACTTCCCTAGGGATATGTGCAATACATGCAAAGATGCAGGGAAAGGCACCTAGAGATTCCCAGAAGATGCCAGAAGGGGCACCTTCCCCACCCCACCCCCAACTTCATTCCTCAGAATTCCAGTGCTCTGCTGTGGACCTGTATATCTTGCTATACAATATATAGCTCTTGTCTATATCATCAGCTCTCCAGCCATAGCATAGGGGCTAGTTTGGAAGTACCACCAACCCAGGCATTCTGGATCTCCATGATTTTTATCTGCTGTTCCTAGGCAACCAAAGAACGGGAGAAGCCCACCCTGGGTGTTCTTGTTAAGGCTGGTAGAAAACAGCTACTCCCTTCCTGGCCCCAGAGCTCAAGTATCCTAGTGCCCTGATGCTCTGGGTGTGCTAACAGTATTCCCCTACCCCAAAGGCCTGACTTCTTCTATTTCCTCCCTCAAGGAGAGCTCATGTCCTTTAGTATGTGGTGGGGGTGGTGAATGAGGATAGACGAGTCAGTACTTTCTCCTGCGTCTCTGCATTTGTACAGACCTTCAGCATCTGACTCATAGGATTATGGATTTATCATTTTGAGGGAATTTAGGGATCGTTCAGGTCAACTCCCCTGACTCTTTCCTTTTACAGATGGTGAAACTGAGGCCTTTGGAAGTGAAATGATTTCCCCAAAATCATACAGGTAATAAGTGGCAAAGTCAAAATTTGAACCCAGGTCCTCTGACCCCCAGATCCAATATTCTTTCTACTGACCTATGCTCCCTCAGTGCATCCCTGTCCTACACCCTCCAAACCTGCTTTCTGCTCTTCTTTCCTGCTCTTTTCTAAGAGGGACACATCTGGTCCAGTCCTATTCCAAGGGGTGAGCCCAGCTCAGTGCTTTGAGATCTCTTCTTGCTGAATTTGAATTGAAGCAAGTGACTCCTCAGTGAAAAAATTTGGCCCTGCAGGAATTAATAAACAGGGCTCTTGTGTCATGGTTCAGCCAGGCCTGGTATAAGAGGAGGGAGAAGGGAGGGGAAAGGAACCAGGCTTTTGAACTGCACAAGAGATGGGGCTGTTTAGAACAAAAGAGGGAGGCCAGGGGCCGGGGCCAGGGGAAAAGGGGAATGTCATTAGGGCTAAAATTAGCTACTCCCAGGGCCCACTTCCCGTCCTATCCCTTCTGTGATTTACATAGCCAATAGTATGGAGCACTGGTCTCGCCTCCTGTGTCTAAGTCAGACAGAGCAGGAGACAGTGGCTAGACAAGGCTGGGACCTTCTTGACCTACTGCTAGGAGAAAATCCCAGTTCTGTTTAATGCTGCCAATGGCATACTGGCCAGGGGTGTGACTGGGGCCTAGGTCAGTGGAAGTATCAGGGAAGCAATGCTGAGGAGATATCTCACGCTTATCCTCATAAATCTCCATCCCTATCCTCATCCTGTTCCCATTCCTGTTCTTATGTTCATCTCCATGCCCATCCAATTCCCATCCCCATCTCCAACCCCATTCCTATCCCTGACCCCATCCCCATCCCCATCTCCATTCCCATCCCTTACTCCATCATCTATTTCTCCATCCCCATTCCAATCTCTAGCCCCATCTCTCCCCATCCCAACCTCCATTCCCATCTCTCACTCTATCATCCCCATTCCCATTTCCATCAGGCACTCCATCCCACCCCTGTCCACATCTCCATTCCCATTCCCATTCTTAATCCTATCTCTGTTCCCATCTCCTTTCCCATCCTTCACTCCATCCCTGGCCATATCCCCACCATCATAATTCTCAAACATATTCCCAGGTCCTGAGCTTCTGGGCCTCCACAATGATGGCCCTCCTCCTGTAACACCACCAGCCCCTTCAGAGCCACCAAAGCCAGACCAAGGCTGTTTATTATATTGCCTTTTCTTGTCAGCTCTTGAGGAAACCCTACTGCTCTTCTGACCTGCTCTGGACACACACAGACACCCACACAGAGTCACAGGTACACATAAAGAAACACACATGGGGCAGCTAGGTGGCGCAGTGGATAGAGCACTGGCCCTGGAGTCAGGAGGACCTGAGTTCAAATCCGGCCTCAGACACATAACACTTACTAGCTGTGTGACCCTGGGCAAGTCACTTAATCCCATTGCCTAGCCAAAAAAAGGAAAAAAGAAAAGAAAAAAAAGAAAAAGAAACACACACATATTGATACCCATACACATGGACACCCACACAGAAGATGAACACAAACACACACCGGCATGCTACACTTGTGCACACACATGCATGCAAAACCCACACACTCAAGCGCTGACATATATATACAGTTTCCTGGATTCCCCAAGGAGAAAGTTAGAACAGAGAAGAGATGGAGTCTGGCAGACCTGGCATCTCTGGGGCTGATGCTCACTTCTCTGTAGCCTGCAAAATGTGCTCAAATGGTCTTAAGGTCTCTGGCAGCTTCCTTGGTGACACTTCATTATGAAGGCCATCACCTCCCCCAATTTTCCCATTCTGTAGGTGGGACACACATGTAGGGCTTGGGTAGATGAGCTGCGTTCCCTAAGACAGATCCCTCTCTGCTCTGTGGTTGGGAGCTGAGAGGCCTGAAGTGGGGAGTGGGAGAGGGGACAATGAATGAAGGTCTGAGGATGAATGAAGCAAAGGCCAAGATGGGGGCGGGGCAGGGCCAGAGTGGTGCAGCTGACTCTAAGTGAAGCAAAGGTTGGGGCTAGGGGCCAAGGTAGAGGTTGAGGGGCTAGGGTTGGCAGACTCTTGTGAGGATAGGAGCTAGAGGGATGGGCTGCAGCCATGGGGAAATTGAATAAAGAGGAAATAAAATGTTCAATTGGAGAAAGAAGCTGATTTATAGCCCCTGTGGGAGCTTAATGAGTTTCCCAGGAGCAATGAGCTAAGGCCAAACTGATGGGGGGAGAAAGAGGAGGGAGGGGGCCTGGAGGCTAAAGTGTGGGATAGAGAAGACAAGTGGGGGTGCAAGAAACTGACATGGGCCAGGGAGGAGGGGGCCCCAATAACAGCTCCCAACGTCCCTCTGTGGGTGTCCCCCTGCCCTCCGACAGTCACACACACACACTCTCTCTCTCTCTCTCTCTCACACACACACACACACACACTCACACTCACACACACTCTGTCACACACACACACTCACACTCACACATACACATTCACACACACGCACGCACGCACGCACGCACACACGCACGCATGCACGCTCCTCTCTGCCCCAGAAGCCCTCTGCCTCCATTCTTTAAGCCAGCATAGTGGGGTAGGGTGAGGAGGGCTATGTTTAACAGGAAGGCAGGGGCTTTTTTCAGTCTCTTACCCCCAGAGCTACAGACTGATCCTGTGCCCAAGAGCCCCCCTTGGAGCCCCTGGCAAAGGGGCCAACTCTAGTTCCTCTCGGCTCCAGATGGACTGTCCTCACCAAGGCCCCCTTCCCAAATCCTGCTGCCTTTCAGGGCCCTACTTCCCCCATACTCCCAGCCCGCAGGAAGCCTTTCCAGCCTCCCTGGCTCCCGTGCTCAGGATGCCTTGACACCCTGTCTCCACTCCTCAGGTGTCATTCCTGCACTTACCACTAGCACAATGGTGTGTCTTTATTTTATCCTGTCTTTTGACATTATAGAATAGTTTCTTGTCTCCCTAACCTAATGGAAATTCCTCAAGGGCAGAACGGCTCAATCTCCTCTTGTTTGCCCTGCAGCCTGGCTGAAACCAAAGCTAGACACACAAGCAGTGTCAAATAAACATGAATGGAATGGAATGGAGCAGAAGGGAACAGAAAACAGCTGTGGGACCTTGGATCAATAACTTCCTCTCTTCGAGCCTCAGTTTCCTCCTCTATAAAATGAGGGAGCTGAATCAGATGCTCTTTAAGGACTCCTCCACTTTTGACTTTCCATGTTCTAAGGGCCCTCCCAGCTCTGACATTCCGTGTTCTAAGGGCCCTTCTATTTCTGACATTCCATGTGCTAAGGCCCCTCTCAGCTCTGACATCCTATATTCTAAGGGACCTCCTATTTCTGACACTGTATTCCAAGGGCCCTCCCAGCTCTGACATTCCGTGTTCTAAGGCCCCTTCCCAGGGACATTATCCTCCTACATTCTCTCATATGCACTTAATCGTGCTCTTTGTCCCTGCTACCTCCTCATCCCAGAATTTCCCCACAGAGATCATGCTGAGTCACCTCTTTCCATGGCCAAGACTGGCCAAGATCAAGTAAGAGATTGGGGAAGGGTTTCTCTCAGCTGTGTCTGCTACACACCCTATCAGTCCTAGAGATATGGGCTGCGGGAAACAGCTGGAGCATTTGGGTCCTGGAGCATCTGCTTCAGAGTGGAAGTAGGTCCCTCTACCCTGGCGGGTGAGGGGGCAATGTGGAGCACACCCTGTTCTCCTAGCCTCAGGCTTAGGGTCAGAAGGCCAGGACATCTCTTCCTCTCCAGGTATTCTAGGACCCAGTATCTAGGACACTCCAGTCTTATGGGCAGGTGGGAGGGCTGGGCTAGGCAGAGTCCAAAGTCCATCCAGAGCTTCCTGGCTCAAGCCTGGCCTTAGCTCAGCTCCAGCCTGGGTATCGTATTTCTTCCTCAATGAGAAAAAGCAAGATTTCCCTCCCAGGCCTGGGACCGGCAGTGGTGGTAGCTGCCACATCTGGTAGTGTCTACCCTTTGCTCCTGAAGTGTGATCTGCCTCTGTCCAGCAGCTCCCAGGGCCCTGGACAGTGAATGGGGTGGGTAGCTAGGGAATGACACCTGGCTTTGGGGGAGGGGTGACCCTGAGTAGGAGAGGCAGGCATTAATTATGGAGAGAGGGATAAGGGGAGTCAGCCACCAATATCCAGCTGGCCACACTGGGAGGTCATCAGGTAGAGAATCTGGTCAAAGCCTGAGTGAGGAGGAGAGGCCTTGGGAGGTCCTTGGCCTTCAATACTAGCCAATCAGATTGCTCCCAGGACTCTGGCCCTACACATCTGCCCGGAAGAGGACAGAGGGGTTTGAGTGACCAACAGGGCCACAGTGTGACAGACTCACCGGATGTTAGAGCTTGGAACGCAGAATGTCAGAATTGGGAGGATCTTTAAGATACAGAATATCAGAAAGGGTAAGGGCCTTAGAGAGAAGGGTCAAATACAGAAAGGACAGAGGATGTCGGAGCTGGGAGGGCTCTTAGGACACAGAATGTGAAATGTCAGAGCTCCGGCTCTTAAAACACGGCACATGAGAATGCAGAGGGATCTTAGAACATAGGATGTAGAAACTCAGAACTAGACTGGCCCTAAGAAACCAAGGAACACAATCCCTTATTCAGAAAACTAAAGTCCAGAGGAGGAAAGTGACAGTTTCAAAGTCACACAGTGAATCGATAACAGGGAAAGGAGGCTCAGAGCTCCCAAGTGGACAGTTCCCAGAAGGGCTTCATTGGATGTACCAAATCTTCCCTGCCCTGACCTCAGCTGGAAGATTCTAATTCAAGGCCTGAAGGCCTTTCCAATGGGGCCACTTCCTGCCTAACTCCACAGATGAACTACCACAACCCCCTCCCCCTATACTACCCCCATCTCTCTTTGGCTTCATTCCCTTTCCTTCATGGTTTATCATGGATTCAGGGCAAATGACCATTCCCATTGGACCAATAGACTCAACTTTTCCCCTCCTCCTTCCCTTTCCTCCTTGCCCAAGGGTTCTGTCAGCCAGAAGGGGAAGAAGGTTGAGTAATGGTGGGGGCCTTGGAGCAAGAGACACAAGCCTAGGGTCGATAGAAGCCAGGGCTGGGTGAGAATGGAACTCAGACCAACTGGGAAATGGGTCCCTGGGGTAGGGGCTGTGCATCCCATAGGGCTGGGGTGGTTCCAGGGTCTGCTCATGCTCCAATCATCTGCTGAGGCTGAGAACTCAGAGCAGATACAGACCACACAGCACCGTGAAGGGGTCCACTGGGAAAGAAGACTTGGCTAACAGATGCAAAGTCAATAAAATGAGAGCAGCCCCTCTGGAACAGGGCACTGGAAGAACACCAAACCCTCACCACAGTGCTAAGCTGAAGGGGAGGAGGAGCGGGACAGACAGTGTGGTGCAGTGGGTGGGAAGATCCAGTCCTGGGCTCTTATCTGGCTTTGTCCGTGACTTCTCCCATGAGTCTTGGTTCATTCCTCTGTAAAACGAGGCTGTTGGACACTTAATCCAGCTCTTGGGTCTCAGATTCTGGTCCTGTAAAGTAGAAGGCTGCAGATAGAAGGAATCCAGTGGGTGAGAGGGGAAGTAGTGAAGGCTCCAGAAGCCCAAAGGGAGGCCTGTGGAGGCAGGGGGATGGCCAAGATGACCTCTGGAGAGCCCTCTGAGGTCATCTCGGATTTGGTGAGACGGAGCCCTGACTTGTATCCAGCTCAAACATGGAAATGGAGGGGAGGGGAGGGGGGAGAGGCAGGGCTTGTGAATGCTTCTCTTTCCCACCCCTCTTCAACCCTGTTAAAGACCCCTCAAGCTGTGACTAATTGTCATTCTGGCAGAGCAGGGACTGGGGGCCTCTGGTGGGGGGCACTTCTGACTCACAAAGAGGTGACTCACAGGAAGGTGAGACCCACAGATAAAGGTCCTGAAATAACTTTCCTGGGTCCCACCCACTAGATACAGACAACTCTAGGGAATGTGAGAGTTCTGGATCTGGAGTAAGAAGACCTGAATTCAAGTTTCACCTCTACCCCTTACTAGCTGTGTGGCCTGGGGGCAATCCCATTTCTTCTCTCGATCTCTCTTTCTTCTTCTGTAAAACAAGGTTAGACTAGATGGTGTCTGAAGACTGTTCTGGCTCTAGAATCTCTGATCCTTCTCCAGGGCACTCATTCCGCAGGGTGCCCCTCTCTTTCTCCCCTCCGCTTCTCTCCCAGCTTAGTGGTTACATTGGGAAGAGATGCTCCTGACCAAGGGACCCTCAGGAGAGTAGTGGATCCACCCCTCACCCCCACCCCAGCTAGACCCAAGGCCCTCAGAAACCGGGGAGAGGGATGCCACCCTTCACCCCCACCCTGGCTGGACCCAAGGCCCTCAGAAACCAGGGAGAAGGATGCCATTACCTCGGTCCCTATAAAACGGCTCTCCTGCAAAGCCCCAGGCTCATGCCTTGCCACTTCTGTATAACAGTGGGAAAGGAATTTAGCCAATCCATTGTCAGAGCTGGGAGAGATCTCAGAACACAGAAGGCAGAATCCCTGAGCTGGAGGTCACCTTAGCACACAGAATCCCAGATCATCCTTCTTCTCCCTCCTCCTCTTCTCGCAGCCCCTGTTGATTCCGAGCACCCCTTTCCCCCCAGGCCTGACCGCCTTGGGATGGCAGATGGGCTCAGGGAGTGGAAGAACTGGATGGCTTCCTGGAACTCTATTTTTCTGTGGGCATCGTGCCCAGGCCCCGAGCAGCCCCAGGCAAACAGACCTCTGAGACTAGCCAGGAGCAGAGGGTTTGGGGGGCCAGGGGGCCTGGAATCCTACACTTAGTCCATGGGAAAGTCCAACTCTCCCCTTCCCTGCTGCGTCCTTCCTCTCTCCCACAAATGAGGTTATATCAATAGACATATATACATGTGTGCATATTATACATGTGTATATCTAATATGTAGACATAATACACAAAGACACGTATAGTGCTTTGCAGTGCCAGGGCTAAGAATAAGGCGGCCTGGGTTTTCTGGGCCTAATTCTGTCTCCGGTTCTTCCTGGGGTGACCTTAGGCAAGTTACTTCCTTGAGCCTCAGTTTCCACATCTGTAAACAGAAGAAATAATGATACCTTCCCTGTTTTCTATCCAGGCCTGTTGGGAGAATCCAAGGAGCTAATTCATGGGAAAGGCCTTTGGAAAGTTCTTCAGTGATGTGTGAGGCAGCAGAATCCTGCCCAGTCTCTCTTGAGTCCTGATGCTGACCCCTTTCCCTAGAGAAAGAGCTGAAAAGAGGATCCTCAGAATTTTAGAATCATAGAACATCAGAGCAGGATGAGGGCCCTTAGAATATGGAGCATAGTAAGAGCTAGAAGAAGCCTTGGGAACTTTGCTGGTCTAAGTCTTTCATTTTACAAATGAGAAAACCAGGGCCCAGAAAGGGGGTAGTAACTTACTTAAGGTTGCACAGTATCAGAGGTGCATACACTAGAACCTAGGATTCCCAACTCATCATTTCACTTCTCCAAAGTCTGGTCCATATTTGAGTGAGTGAGGAGCAGGGGAACAGGCTGTTTTCCTTTCTATCCCAGCTTGTGGGCTCTCTCACACTCCAGGAACAGTTTATGAGGCAGGGGCTGCTCCCTGGGTACATATTCTAGGACCCCTGAGAACTCAGTAGGTGGCCATACCTTCCATCGAGGGCCAAGGAAAGGGGGTGGGGTAGGGCTATACCATTAGGCCACATGCCCAGGAATTCCTTTTGAAGTCACAGAGCCATAACATTATACAGCAAATTAGTAGAAACGTGGTCTTCTGAATAGTCCAATAGTCCAGGGCTCTGTGGGAAAGCTAGCTCCCTTCTCTGGGCCTCAGTTTCTCCATCTGTGAAATGAGAAGGCAAGATGGTATAGGGGAAAGTCAGAAGACCTAAATCCAAGTCTCAGCCTTGCAACTTGCTAGCTTTTGTGACCTCAGACACTTTGGGCCTCAGTTTCCTCTTCTGTAAAATATAAGGTTTAGACAGTTTCTGAGGCTGCTGCCATCTCTAGGAGTCTCTTTTCCAGCTCTTGCCTAGGACTGTAGGGTTTGGCTGATCTCGGACTCTCAAAGAAGATCCTCGCCCCCCCCCCCCCCCCCCCCCCCCGTACAGCTCTTTGGGGACTCTTTGTGTCCTTAGCCATGCTGTGAACTCCTTCTGGGCAGGGCTTAGGTCTTCTCCCATTCCTACCTCTTGCTCCCATAGCTGGGGACTGGGGAGAGATTTCTCAAGTAAGATATTGATCTCGTTTGATATTAGCAGGCAGGAGACCTGGGTTAAACTTTGGGCCCTAACCCTTATTAGCCATGTGATCCCAGGCCTCCCACCTCTTTGGGTAGGAATGGTCCCACCTTTTTCTACAGATGAGTAAACTGAGGCCCAAGGTCACACAGAGTGTGAGAGAGGCAGAGGGGCCGGATTATGAACATAGGTTGTCTGACTCCAGAATTACTGCTTTTAACCTCTTAATCTCCTCATCGGTAACATGGGGGCAATAATGCTTTCACTACCTATCACAGAGTTATTATAGGGAAAGCTTTTTGGAAACCTTAAAGCCATTGTGATTGGGGCTTCTCTGCCAGGGAGGGCCCACTCTCGGAGGCCTGATCTCACCAGTGTTCCTGCCCTCCCCCCACCCTTCACTGGCTTTCTGGCTTCCCTGAGCAGAGGGGCTCTGTAGGAGCTCAGCTCAGCTTAGCCATAGTGGGAAAGGCTGCCCATGGGAACCTTAGTGGACACTGCTCCCTGGTGGTTACTGGAGAAAAAGCAACTCCATCAGCTCAGAGAGAAGGATCCCCAAGGTGGCAGGTGGGGAGGGCCTGCATTCCTATTGTCCCCTGAGATTTCCAAGACACTTTAAATCAGAACTCCTCAGAGCTGGCTCCTAGCACTGGCCTGTCACTGATTTTATGTAAATATGCCCTTTGAGACAGTCTTTGTATCTCAGTTTCCTAATCTGTTAAATGGGGATAATACCTGAGGGAGGATTTTGAATCAAAGCACCTGAGTTTGTAATCTGACTTTTCCATGTATCATCTGTGAAAATTTTCATGCATCACTTCATCCCTCCATTTTTTTCTGTATCTCTAAAATGAAGGTGCTGAACCAGATGGCTCCTAAGGTTAGGCACTCTATCCTTTGATGTGCTCTGGCTACCTCATGGGGCTTTTGGAAGGTCAAAGGAGGGCAGGGGCAGGAAAGCCCTACCAGAGACCAGTACATCACACTAGGTCTTTTTTAATTTTTTTTTTAACATTCTTCCCTCCGTCTAGCATGTTGGCCATGCCTCCTAGACTTAGGCCAGCTGCCAATTTGGACAAATATGCCATCTATACCTTTAATTGTCTTGATGAAGGTCAAGTGACTTTCCCAAGACCACCATGCATGTGGTAACCAGGATCTGCTCAGAAAGAAAATGACCCTGGCAGCCTTTTGCTGGATGGATTAAGGGAGGCTGAAGGCTGTAGCAGACAGAAGGCAATACGGGTGAGCCTGGACGTTCCAGTCAATTGGACACTCCCTCCCTCCAGGACTGGAGCTCTGCCCATTCCTGGCTTCAGACCTGAAGCTAAGCCTGGGCTCAAGGTCTACGGGACAGCCAGGAATAGGGCCATCTCCCTCAACAACCCAGCAGGCAGAGAAACAGAGCTATAACACATCTACCTGATGGTGCCTTGGGGACTGAGCTGGGTGGGGTAGGGAGAGACTGAATTCATTAATTTATGGCCTGCTTGAAGCATGTCAAAGCCCGTAACAGTTTGGGCTTCCCAGGAAGCAGGTGATTCATTTCTGGAAAGTGGGCCCTAAGAAGGGGATCTTCATGCCTTCCATAAGATGCAGAGCTGGATCAGACTTCAGAAATCTGGTCCTTCTAGGAAGACTTGAGGGTGACCAGAATATTGATTATTTTGTTGTTCAGTCATTTCATTCTTGTTCAGCCCTTCATGATCCCATCTGGGGTGTTCTTGGCAAAGATACTGGAATGGTTTGCCATTTCCTTCTCCAGCTCATTTTACAGATGAGGAAACTGAGGTAAAGTGACTTACCCAGGGTCACACAGCTAGTAGTGTCTTAGGCTGGATTTTAACTCATGAAGATGAGTTTTCCTGACTCCAGGCCCAGTGTGCTATCCACTGCACCCCTCTTGATCAAACCTAACGTATATACAAAGCTCTTTCCTGCTGGGCCTTTCCTATTTGATATTCCTACCACCATGGAAGGTCAGTGGGCCGGGATTTAGCATCCCCATTTGATGGCTGAACAGACTGAGGTCCAGAGGGGGACTGACTAAGCCAGGGTTCCACAGTTAGGTTAACATGTGCTTGCACCTCCATGGTAGGGCCAAGAGCACATTCCACGGCAGTGTCCCTCTCAGGGCTGATGCTCTGTGTATGACCTGGAAAGGACCTCAGTAGAAAGCACCTTGGCCCTAGTGTCATCAGGCCTGGGTCTGAATCCTGACTTTACCACTTATCACTAGTGTGATTTTGGGTAGCTTTTGGGTCTCTAAGCTGC